TGTGTGCCTTGGCATCCAGTATCTGATTCGTAGGGAGGTGGACTCCCATTCGGCCTCGAGGACATCACTGCTGGATCCGCTGGTTAAAAATAATCTGAAAGAATATTTATGTTGTTAGGCCATCATTTAACAAAACCTATTTAAAATAGAGCTGCAACAATTGATTCCTTTTTTGAATGATCATTAGGCCTGAACATTTTTAAATAAATTATAAAAATGACCCTGAGGTTATTGAAGACCATAACATATCAAGACGAGTCTACTATAAAATAGGGACTACATTCACTAAGAGAAGGCCAAAACAAGGCAGTAATTTCTCACATTAAATAATTTAGGACTGGGGACACCTTTTGCTTGATAAATTCCATAGTAAAAACATATTCTGTCGTTTAACAAACCGATTAGTAATATCAGGGCTGTCTCATGTTATAACATATCGATTTTAAATGGCCATTTTTAATATCAGGTTAGGCGGCGGCTGGAACATCTCTGGCCTTGGATATATTCATGTTAATATAAACTACTGAAGTACCACATTTCTTGTTAAATCCAAAATAAATTGTTAGACAACAAACTCAACCACTTTCCACGGATAAATTCACAGTATTTACGCACTTTTAAGACAATTCAACACATCCATTTGACAACACAGTCGAGGTGCCGCGCTAAGGAGATAAGTGATTTAAAGTATCTAACAACACACCTGTTTGTTGTCGCAACAGGTGTCAAATTATTAATGATTTAGCAAATAATCACAGATTTAAAGTAGACTCTGATGCTAATCTTACAAACTGAGGTGCACACACTCACCTGTCGTCCTGTCTCTCTGCTCCACCTGAAAGGTTTCAACTGAAACTGACTGCTGTTAAAAACAATGCAGGCCACACCTAGCCGCTGTATGTCATTTTAGCCCCGCCCGCAACACCGGAAGTCCTCACCTAGTCTTCATAGAAATACCTGTGGAAAATACTATGAAATGCTTCAGTAAACGTAACAGTGCAAACACAACATTGTAGGCTATTTTTTTGGTTGTTAAAATGCAGCATCAAATAAATCTAACTGGGTAAACAACCAGAGAAATTGACCAAAAAAAAGTAAATATATAGTACCCTACAAATATTTTACACTTATGAAAGTCTTATGATTAAGAAGGGCCTATAATGCATCGTTATTGAACCCTCAGATTATTCTTCATAATTATTATAAAAATAAAGGAGATAAAATAATAATTGATGTTTACATTTTTAAATAAACGCCATTGAGATATTATTGAGTAATTACTGCTACAACAGATAGCCAAATGCCTGTGGTGTAGCTATTTTTTACCCAGGTGCAAGTATACACACACAATTTTTTTATTATTAAAGTATTAAGATGGCAGTTTTCTCAATTCATTCAATATTCAAGTAATGACTCAGTGAATGTCACATTGATTTGATTAAAAAAAAATCTAAAATGACTAGAACAAAACTAATTGACCTATTTCATCTCTGTAGTTTCATAACTTCATTCAGCTTATTCTTTTTACAATAAAAAATGAACTGTGGCTGCCAGCTGATCAAACAAAAAACCCCACAGACCGTCAGTAGAGAAGCAAAATTGTATTCTTGCGACAAAAAGCACAAAATGATAACTTTAAATTATGAAAGAATATGGACATTTATAGCAACATATTTACAATTTCTCTTAATAACATTAGGCAAACACAGACCCATGATAATATTCCCACTGAATCAAGAGGTCACATGTGTACAGTATAAAGAGGATAAAATGAAGATATTCAGGGGGCTACGTGGCTATAAAGTACAAAATGTTTAATCAGTGAAATGGTAGAACATAATTTTACAACACACAGAACAAACAACATTTTAAATTATACTATCAGACATGGATATTTCCAGATTTAGAAAAACAGATTCGCGTTAAAAAAATAGAACAGTGTGCAATTAAAACAATCCTTTACATAAAGCAGCTAGATGGGATATGTCCGGATAAGCAGTGGTTTTCATTTCAGGCTTTAAAGTTGTGAAATTAATGTAAACAGGCAAACAAGTGGACTAATAGAAAGATAATCATGTGAACTTTCCCTTGCTTCTTCCATCTCCCACTAATTAAACGCAAACATTCACTAGGGATACCAGTGTCATAACATATAGTGGTGTGTCACGGCTACAATCATAATCACAGTATTAAACATAAATATCTTGTATATTCATATCCAGTTATTTGCATATTCAAACCATTTAAAATAAAGGAATAGTTTTACATGTTTGGCAAACATGCTTATTCGCTTTCAGGCAAAGACTTAGGAGTCTTATCATTTTAACATAAAACTATAGCCAGTCACAGATAGCTTAGCGGAAAGGAACCGAAACCCACCAACCAGCACTTTCAAAGCCTTGAATTCACTTTTTATATCTTGTTTGTTTGATTTGTAAAATTACGAGTAAAAATATCATCCATATCTGTTTTATTTATGTGCTTAGCCTCTATTTCTAAGAAAATAGTCCCGCACATAACTCCATTTTACACTGGAATAAAAAAACGTGTACATTAGTGAAATGAAGGTGTTCATAGGCTGACTGTTTTATTTTTGTTACTTACAAGCTTTTTGCTGATCTGGCTTCTTGATGTGTATTTATAGTTACCTCACAAATATTAGAGCTATTTCTATTTCCTCATCTAACTCCACACCAGAAAGCGATCAAACATGTTTCCCAAAATGTCAAGACATGTCTTTAAATATAAAACTGTCACATTTGGTTCTACTTCTTAATGAACACAGTCAGTCAAAGCTGCTGATAGATGAAAACAGCTGTACAGATGTACATGCGTCATGTTCGCTCTCCAGTTAAAATGTCACTTTCCCCACCAGAAGCCAGCTGTCAGCATTAGTTCTGTATTAGTGTTCAGAGGTGTGCCCGGGTACAGATATTTGCTAGAGGTTTAGCTGTATCCGTCGTTCCACTCCATCACCTTATCGTATTCTTGAATCTTCTGTTTGATGTGCGACAGTTTGCTCTTCAGGTACTCACAGCGCTCCTTCTTCTCGAGGAAAGTCGGGTCCTGATTTGATAAAGCAGAAACTCCGATGAGAATACAAAATGTAAGTTTGAGATACACACTTTTTACTGTATAATTCAGCTGTTCAAGGGCCGTTGGTTAACTATTATAATGAATGAGTTTTTTCTCCCCGTCAACAAATCCAATGAAAAGATGGAAACCAACACTGAATAAATATCTACTAACAAGTATTGTGTGTGCACCACAACCTGCTATATATTTTCCTCAGTTCCATTGATTAAAAAAAACATAAATGAGCCACACTGTCCAACTGGGTGACATGTTCCTGTATTCCTATGAACACACACTGTCATTACATTTGACTTAACTCTGCATATGTGACCTGCTCTATCGAAATCAGTAGCATTGACCCGAAGACACATTTTGAGTTGTATACACTGCTGGAAAGAGGAGATTCCTAGCTTTCTAATGATATCAGGATTGTTTTTGTACTCCAAATATTAAGCAAAATATGTCACATTATATAATGACTGTCACGAGTCATCATNGTTCCAATAATAATGAAGCCTCCAGGAGCAGATGAGCCTAAGGGCTAATAGCTCATCTTCAGTCTGCTGATGTTTGCTATTGCCATTTCTGTGGTGGTATTACCACCACAGAAATGGCAATAGCAAACATCAGCAGACTGAAGATGAGCTATTAGCCCTTAGGCTCATCTGCTCCTGGAGGCTTCATTATTATTGGAACTGAATTCCCAATAGGACATTTTCTGTTTCGATGTGGGTTGTTGCAGGAAGCCTACATTCACACTTTGGTATAGGTCCAGGAAATGACATGTGTGTACAGTTGACATTTGTTGTGTGAGAATAAGTTATTATTTTGTTCTTTATATTCTCACTTGTGGTGAGTGAGTGAGAGAGTGAGAGTGAGAAAAATAAATAATATTAAATAAATAATGGTATTATGAATACATTTGCCTCCGAGTCCTGCATGAACTGTGCATAGACTGTATTTTAACATTGGTCATATGGTGGTACTTGGAGAGCCAACTATTTTCTCAGGTGGTACTTGGTGGAAAAAGGTTGAGAACCACTGGCCTACAGTAAACCTTACGGTTGTTGAATATTTTTGATTTATTTTAAATGCTTTCAAATGTTCACCTAGATAAAGCTTAATACAGACTGTTTATGGATACCCTATGGAAGCAAAGAAAGGCCACAATAATTTGAGCTTGGTTGAAATGTTGGAAAATGTTACTGAATTCTTTATGTTTCATGCAGAATAAAAAATATGTTTGCTTTGGAAATTAAACTAGGGGTTTCTAGGTGGCAATTTGAATATTCCTATTTCTGAAAAACACTTTTATTTAATTATGGGTTCACAGATTCAAAGTACCTATATAAGTGTTGGGTTTTCAGTCGGTCATCTAAGTTTGAAAAAAATCATTTAAAATTCCTATTCCCTATTTGACATTTCGGATTAAAGCAATTGATTGTTTTTAACTTTTAGATGTATAAATAACAAATTTGACTATTTGAACCTGTAACTGACATGAAGAAAACCTCTGAAATCAAGATTTTATCACACAAATTCTTAGTCACAAATGTAAAACCTCATAAATTCAGCCTTACGGTTTTACAAAAAAATATTTCAGGGGTGTTTCAATTCTACATATTCCGCTGATTTCTTTGTTACTCTCTTCTCAGTAATGTGCCCCCCCAACCAGCCTATTCCTACTACCCAGACGATGAGTTCCTGCATTTCTACCGCTGGACGTCTCCACCAGGCATCCTCAAAATCATGTCCATCATCTCCCTCGTGATGTGCGTGGCCATATTTGCCTGTGTTGCCTCCACGCTGGCCTGGGACAGTCAGGGAGCGATGAGTGGCATGGGAGGGTCCTACGGGGGAACTGGGGGCGGTGGGTATGGGGGCGGTGGGTATGGTGGCGGTGGGTATGGAGGCGGTGGGTATAGCAGCTTTGGAGGCGGTGGATATGGAGCTGGAAACAGCTATGGCTACGGTGGGCTCGGAGGAAACTACAATGACCCCCGTAAGGGCAAAGGGTTCATCATCGCCATGGCAGCCATCACCTTCATCGCCTGCCTGGCCATCTTCATCATCGTCATTTCTCACCAGACCCTATCAACAAGCAGGAGGTTCTATCTAGCAGTCGTGATCATCAGCGCTATCTTAGCACTGCTAATGCTAATAGCAGCTATAGTGTACCTGGTGGCAGTGAACCCCGCCGCTCAGTCCTCGGGATCGTCCTTCGGCAGCCAGATCGCTGCACTATGTGCTCCGTACAAACAAACACAGCCCACTGGAGTGTTTGTCAATCAGTATCTGTACCACTACTGCGTGGTGGAGCCACAAGAGGTGAACACACACTTGAATTTGTTTAAGTCTTTAAAGGGGGATTTGTTGTAGGGTGTGGCCATGTATCAATGTTAAATTCGATATGGTGATATCAGACTAGATTTCGTTTAGATTTTTGATATCGTAATATGGTCAAATTGTAAGTTTTCCCAATTTTAATGGATGCACCGAAGTAAAGTGTTGTCATTTTCAAATTTGTATTAATTCTATTTACCCACTTAAATAAATATAACTACTTATAATCCAATTACTGTTGTTTATTTATCAAACATCTCCTTTGGTAAACATTAACCCTAAACATTTTTCACAATATCGATTTTGAGGTATTTGGTCAAAAATATTTAGATTCTTTGGATATAATCCGTATGGTCCAGCCCTTATTTGTTGTGTTTGTAACTCAGTTTTTTTCTCCTCTCAGGCCATCGCGGTAGTGTTCGGCTTCCTGGTCGCCATCGCTCTCATCATCATGCTCGTCTTCGCTCTAAAGACTCGCAAGAAAATCCAAAACCACGGCAAGAGCAACATCCTATGGAAGAGGGTGAGGGTTATCGAGGAGATGGAGCCACCTCAAGATGTAGAGGCATGGGTGAGTTAATTGTTCAAAAACTAGTGTACATGCACATCCAACCCTTATCAAACAGGTGTTGAGCTGAAGGGGAGCACACAATGATGTCAAATAAATAGCTTGCACACACAGCATGGGAGCCCTACAGTGTTCAAGCTGTTTAAGCCATTTGTTTTGAGTTAATTATTCAACCTGACTGTTGGGGAATAATTTGCTTAGGTATTCAGCCTTTGACACAGTTAATAATTTTCCCCTTTCACTGTCTCTTTTCCCATGGCATAAGTCTAAGGCCTTGGGTATTGCTGATATCTCTCTTAAGGAGGGGCAGCTGGGCGCATTGTTGTTGCCAGCTTATGACCAAGCACAAGCTGACATGAGATAGTTTATTGTTCAGGGACATCAAGATGCCCTTCTTTTCTGGGACGTAGGTTCCCTGGCGCACATTATTTTCTATGGACGACAGCTCTAGTTAGATTTAGGGTCCATATTTGTCTCGCTGATAAAGAATGTTGATTATTACACTCCGAACTACTTAAAGTCCTTATCTTGCGTAATTTACTGTAGCTGAAAGATCATAGAACTGTTTCAAAATGCATTAACTTGTTGGGTCTTATTCCAGTAACACGTGATATAGATCGAATATCGTTTCCTATTTGCTGTAAATCACTTGTTAATATCGGGAAAATGGGTCAAATTCAGAGGTATCCAGAAAAGTCTGGATTCAAACTTGCCGCTGCTTGGTGCTGTGTCGTGACGTCACGTGTGGTTCCGCGAATCCTGGTGAGTTCAGCCCGTCCCAGCATCACACAGTGTAGCATTGCTGGTATAGCCGCATGTCAACTTTGTGTATCAGTGTTTATCATCGTCCACACCAAATAATTGTTCTGTCAAATTGTGCCAAATACCCGCGCTATTAGCTTTTTCTGATGCGTAAACATCAACAATATTTGACGCCATTTTTCGTTGTGAACTCTCGCTGGCTGCGCGCATTGGCTGTCGATCCGGACGGCAGCAGGGATCCAGACAGCGGCAGCCGGGAACCACACGTGACGTCACGAAATGGCCTGCTTCCAGAAGCAAAGTTTTTTTTATTGGACCTAATATTTTTCCTTTTTTTACATATTATTCAGTATGAAATAAAGAAACATACATTGATTATCTGTTGCATACACCCCCCAGAAATCAACTGCCAAAAACAGTTTTTAATGTAAGATAAGGACTTTAAACAGGAACATCACAGCATTCCTTAACCATAACAGTCGCAATAAAGGGTGTGAACCATCTAAATTTATTGGTGATTTCCATTTTGGGTGTCGGATGACTTATACGCAAACAAACTTAAGAAGAAAACGTTTTCAATGTAAAAAACAAAAAGAGGTGGTCCTCCATTACTGTGTTCGGTGCACCACACGTTTGTTGGTTACCACCAACACTTTTAATAAATCGCTTGACGAGGGTTGTTACCGTTCGGGACTGAGACTCTGTACTCTACACCTCCATTTTAGGTTCTCGGTACTTAATCGAATAATCGTCGACTCGACTTGCGAGTACTTGACGGTGTAGTAACCGACGGATGAAACACGTTGTTTCTGTGGTTATTACACCAGACTTCGGGCTAAACATACAGAAATTATTGTGCAATAAAAATAAACAACAGATGCAGATTATGACTTTGTCTATCGAAGTTTACGAGTACCAATTTAATCATACGTAATATTAAGGGTGTGTAGAATCGGAAACGAAATTGCAGCATCCGGAGTCCGGATTATGGTTAACGTTTAAGATAAATTTGGTAGTGTTAACAGTCCCGTACTTTTATAGCTTTTGGTCGAAGAAAAAATAGTAGACAAGGGCGAAACGAGACGTCGAAGGACACCTAAGGCACTTCGCCGTTTTAGTGACGCCGTTTTTTTTTAGGTCACGTGTAAAAGGCCCGGTGACATGGCGCGGGGGTCTAATGATCTGTAGGGTCCAACGTTAGCGTTACACCGAGGTGTCCGTTGAGAAGTGTCGACATTCAGCGATGGTTTTGTTTCTATGTGTAAGTGGTGTAGTTGTCAGTTTGATTCGTAGTTGACGAGTGTCTCTGAGTCGTTATATTATCATTTTCAGTAAAAAGTACGAAATTTATTTTATACATAGATTATAGAAAAAGAACTTGGTGTCGGATGATTCGGAGACGCCCGAAGGGTAGTGGGTTAATTTCTCAGGAGAACATCTGGACCGTTTAGGATTGCGGTACAGTGGTTACTTTGTTGATGACGCTTGTCCGACGCGGTCGAACCATTGTTGTCCCGGGTGGTTATTGCCTGATTGAGTTGTCACTGTCTCTGAATGCCATTCATTTCGAATTTGTTTTCGTCGGCAAACCCTTTATCTAAAACTTTTAGTAACTCCGAATTTAAAAAAGAGGGTGATTTTTATAAATTAGGAAATGTCTGTGGAATATTGTCCGTCTGACGACCCTAACCGCGCGAGACACGGCGAGTCGGGAGCCTTGACGCTGGGAGTTTTTTCGAAGTAGTACAAAAAAGACCGGACGGGTTTCGCTCGTCGCCGGGTTGTTTTGAAAATGAAACCCGGAAGTCCTCGTCAGCTACCGATAGAACGACGGTGGGACAGTTGAGCTGTCGGCTTGGAACCATACAGTCCAATAAAGGGTGTGAACATCTAACATTTATGGTGATTCATTTTGGGTGTCGATGACTTTAACAAACCAAACTTAAGAAAAAACTTTTCAAATGTTAAAACACAAAAAAGAGGTGTCCCTGTCCCATTACTGTGTTGGATGCACACACGTTGGTTGGTTACCACAACAATTTAAGAAACCTTTGACCAGGAGCTGTTACGTTCGACTGAGACTTTCTACAACTCATTTTAGGTTCTCGTACTTAATCTGAAATATCGTCGACTCACCTTGCGAGTACTTGACGGTGTAGTAACCACAATAAAATAAAAACATGATGCAGTTTATGACTTGTCTATCAAGTTTACAATACCAATTTAGTCATACGTACTTTACGGTCTATAGATCGAAAAAGTTGTACATCGAGTCCGGTTAATGTTACGTTTAAGATAAATTTGTAGTGGTAAACGTACCGTCTTTTATGACTTTTGGTCGAAAGAAAAAATAGTAGACAATGACATGAAACGAGACGTCGAAGGACACCTAGGCACTTTCCGTTTTAGTGACCTTTTTTTAGGTCACCGTGTAAGTTTTAGTCAGACGTCAAGAGCCAAGTAATGGCAGTCGACAAATTTAGGTAGTGTTTTGTGGTACTTCTTTGAAGAGTTGTAATTTCGTGCCTCTGTACAGTTTCTTCTTGGTGTTTCTCAGGCTATACTTTGGAGTCTTCCTCGTCTTATACAGGGGAAATTTACTTAAAATTTTCACCAGAAAACAGCCTGTGTATATCAGTAACACTTATGACTCGAAGAGTGTAAGGATTATACTGAAAAAAATGTGTCAAATGTGTGTGGAGTCTTTGTCCCGTCTTAATAAATATCTTGCTTTCTACTATTTATTTATTAAGGTCACGCTGATTTACCTACAAGTGTCCCTCACGTCGAGTGACCATGACAGGTGATGAGATGTCCCCACCATAAGTAACTGTCTGAGTTTGTGAGGGTGTGTGTGTGTGTGTGTGTGTGTGTGTGTGTTGTGTGTGTGTGTGTGTGTGTGTGTGTTGTGTGTGTGTGGTCCATTTCACGAGCCCGTCTGAGGTCCGAGAGTGTTTTGTTTCACAGTTTAGTCTCGGTCTCCGATGTGGTTGTTTGTGTTGGCGTGTGTGTGAAGGACAAGAGGAGTGTCGATATGTGTGTGAATGTAGGGGTTGAGTGAGAACAACACACCACACACACACACACACACACACACACACACACAACCAACACAAACACACACACACACACACACACACACACACACTCTCACACACACACACACACACACAACACACACAAAATCAATCCTGACTGAAGAGAATAAGTTTGTCTAATGAAAACAAGGTTCTCTCAAAAACTTGTAGGAAAACCAGACAAAAGAAAGTAGCGAAGACCCAAAGAGGAGCCCTCGACGAGGCAGAGGTGGCAAATAAATAGGATTTTTCGTGTTCAACCACTTATAAGAGGGTCCTTGGTGTCCTCCCCCTTTGTAATCTCCTCAAAAAAAAGGTCCAAAAATAACTTCGGAGATTTACAACCTTATTAGATTCGAAAACTTTGCGATTGACCTGAGTAACCCATGTAGACTCACTTTTTGCAGGTAAATATGGAGGTAAGTGTGGTTGCGTTGAGGCCAAGTTTCCGAGGTCACGATCCCGAAAGTCCAAGTCTTGGCAGCAAGAAGCCAATCGAGGCCGAGAAAAGTTGACGGGTCCAGGCTGACCACGACGCAGTAACGCAGTAGCAAACGCAGTACTGCATTGGCACACGACGGACGAAGTATTTTCGGGTTTGGTGCACCTTTGGGGAGTGTCGACTGTGTGGTTGTTTGTTGTTGTTGTTGTTGTTACCCGGCTAACACGAGGTCGCAAGGGATATGGAGAAGTCCTTTCCTGGTCTAAGGGTAATCCATCGACCAGAGAAGTCACTGTGACGACGAACAATTGAAAGAGGCTAGCAACACATGTTTGACTATTTTGCGGCCGAAAAACAAACAACAAGTCCTCAACCTGTGGCGGGACGGGGCGGAGCTGCATCTCGCACTGCATACGCCACGAATAACGAGACCGGAACTGTTAAACAACCACGAACTTTACTTGGCCTAAGGCCTCTATTCTCCGACGAGGCAGACGCCTACACCTATCTTTTGAGCCGTACGAAAAGTTCTTGTCGAAGCTATGGTACGGGACTACGTTTATGACAACCACAAAAGTTATCTCCATAATCTTTCGGATGTAAACGAAATGACGTCTAAATTTATCTGGTGTCATATACAAAACATTACACTAATAGACGAATGTTTCTAATAAAATGCTACGAGTATGAGTTTTTGTCGTTCCTTTACATTCAAAATGAGTAGCTTTCAGTTCAATACAAAAGATAGTAGGCAATGAAAATTGTGAATTCTTAGGAGTTCCTATGGGTTCTCAAAGTGGACCTTCAATCTTTAGCCTGTTTCTACCTACACGTGGTTAATCATGAGAGTTCAAACTTTCCGTAAAACCAACTTAAGTGGATTCTGTGTCGGAATCAACAACCTACACTTTTAAGACGTTCAAGAAGACTCTACTTACATACTTATGGCTTATATTCTTTCTGTTTCTTTCTCTGTATTGTGATCACGTTCAATTAACGCTTTTTCATAGACTTAACTTTAATACCTTCTTAAGTTTCTCTCACAAGTTACGCTTATGGAACCAATTTTGTTTTTGTCCAAAACTCAGTTACAAGACTCACTGCAGAGACGAATACACGAGAAAGTTGGAATTGTATGATTATTATTATTGTTAATAGACGTGAAATAAATCGAGGAA